AGAGAATTCATTTTTTTCTTCCTTTTTGTCTTTTTTACTGACCGGTAACGGGAACCAGTCTCCTCCCACATGGGATCCGAACCCTCGGCGGGAGCGCCACCGCATTCCCAAGTGCCGCACTTCTCCAGTGCGCCACCGGGCCGGCCCGCAGAGAATTCATTTTGATGGATAGGATTGGAATACCTTGTGGGGAGGAATGGAAATGAGGGTAAAAAAAGGAAAGAGAGACCTCTCCTCCCCTCACCCCCACTCCGAACCCTCGGCGGGAGCGCCACCGCATTCCCAAGTGCCGCACTTCTCCAGTGCGCCACCAGGCCGGCCCGCAGAGAATTCATTTTGATGGATAGGATTGGAATACCTTGTGGGGAGGAATGGAAATGAGGGTAGAAAAAGGAAAGAGAGACCTCTCCTCCCCTCACCCCCAGCCCCAATAACACTCAGTAACATGGCTGGTGAGAAGGGGAATAATCAGGGAGATATTTAGAAATAAATCCTACAGAACCTGGCAATTAACTGTTTTGGAACATAGGTGAGAAAGAAGTCTAGGGAGCTTTCTAAATATCTTGGTGAGATGACTTGCTACTACTGCTTCAAATTCGGTTTCAGGGTGAATGGAGCGCTTTTGAGATTATCCTCTAAGCTCTTTCTCTCCTTCATCATCATATTTTAATTTGTAACTGGACTGTGTCTTCAGGATCTTTCAAAGTCCCCACTGACTTTATGCTACAATCTTGGAAATTCTGGGAGAATTTGAGGCTTATCAATTCTTCTCAACACGCCCCTTTCTCAGTGATTCCTTCCTCTGATTTTTTACTGTACTTTAACCACATTTCTATGACCACTTACTACATTGTGTTGTGATTGAAATAGTTCACCTATTTGTCTACCGTCACTGGACTAAAAGCATCTCAAGGTACAAGTGTCATACTCATGTTTGTGCTTTCAATGCTTGGCACTGAGAAGAAACTAAAGCAATGTGTATAGAATTAATGGTCTGTCTTAGTCTGTTTTCTGTTGCTATAACTGAATACCTGAGACTGGGTAATTTATAAAGAAAAGAAATTTATTTTTCACAGTTCTAGAGGCTGAGAAGTCCAAGAAGTGTGGTTCTAGCATCTGGCTGGCTTCTGGTGAGGGCCTCCTAGCTGTGTCATAACATGGGGGAAGACATCACAGGGCAAGAAGGAAACACTGAGAGCCAAACTGGCTTTTATAGCAGACCCTCTCTGTGATAAATAGCCTACTTCAGTGATAATCCATTCATCCATTAACCCATTAATCCATTAATCATTGGATAGATTAATCTATACATGAGGGCTCTGCCAATCACCTCTTAAAGGACCCACCTCTAAATACTGTTACATTGGAGATTAAGTTTCAACATGAGTTTTAAAGGGGACATTCAGTCCATCGCATGGTCGTTTCCAAAAAACACACATTTACTAAAAAACTCCCTTTCACATAGTGGGAATTTGTGAGATGGCTATATTTGAAAGCATTTTTTTTCTTTTTTTAAAGATGACCAGTAAGGGGATCTTAACCCTTGACTTGGTGTTGTCAGCACCACGCTCACCCAGTGAGACAACCGGCCATCCCTATATGGGATCTGAACCCGCGGCCCTGGTGCTTTCAGCACCGCACTCTCCCGAGTGAGCCACGGGCCGGCCCCTATTTGAAAGCATTTTAATTATAAGAAAATACAGCTGCGCTGGCTGGTTAGCTCAGCTGGTTAGAGGGTGGTACTGATAACACCAAGGTCCAGGGGTTCGATCCCTGTATCAGCCCATCGTAAAAAAAAAAAAAAAAAAAAAAAC